AAAAAAAAAAAAAAAAAAAAAGAAAGAAAAAGAAAGAAAAGAAAAGAAAGAGAAGTGCATTCCTGGCGATTCCACCTGGAGCAGCTGGATGAGAGAGAGAAAAAAAAAAAAAAAAAAAAAGAATGGGCTGCGGCGGACGCGATGCGGGGGAATCATAGTGAAAGATCATAGCTTTAGCGGTTGTTTCTTGTTTGATTTACAACGCAGAGTGCGGTATCGGCGGGATCTTCGTTGGGAGCGGTGTCGCGGAGGCACGCGCCGGTTTATCGAGCCGGAAACGCAACAGCACGCCGAGCAGCATACAGCGTTCCGAGGAGATCGTACCCTATCAGCGCTTTGAATCCGGGAAACAGTCGGGATCGTTGGCCAGTGACACAGCCGGAAGTCTCAACTCGATCTCTAGTTCCGAAGGAAGCTCGTAAGTAGTGGCCACCGACCGATTCTGCAACCGGAACTGCGAGACTCCTTGCTGTCTGTCTCTTTCAAAACTCTTTCTACTTCTCTTCTCTGTCTATACTCTGTCTTCTACCTATTCTCTCTCTCTCTCTCTCTGTTCTTCTTTTCTTCTTCTCCGCAGCCTATTTCTCTCTCTCTCTCTCTCTCTCTCTCTCTCTCTCTCTCTTTGGTTCTATCTCTGTCTAAAAAAAAAAAAAAACTATCTACTATCTTTCCAGCAGGGTTACTTCGTGAGCTTTAAATGTACCGAAAGGGGAATAGATGAAGAATTTCGCTGATTCAGACATTCCAAGTGTTGGATTAACCCTGCTAATGACTCTCTGTCTTCTCTTTCTCTCCCTATCTCTCTCTCTCTCTTTCTCTCTGTCTGTCTGTCTATTCGTCTGACTCTGTCTTTCCGTTTCTACTTTCACCGTGCTCCTCGGACAAACCTTTTTATTGTTTACTTGCACAGGAGTATCGCGAATAATCGTGAAACGTGGATCGTTTTGTCTTTCGACGTGTGATTGAGCTGATGTGTATGCCCAAAGCATTGATGTTTTGCTCATTCATGCTTTTTTACCCCTTCCCCCTTTTTACACGCCCATGTCATCCCCCTTTGTACGAACAAGCGACTCTTTCAACCCTTTTCGTTCACGTAATTAGCCGGTATAAGCGGAAGAGAACGTGGGAGAATCGGATAATGGAAGCACATCGTGCGAACCGTTGAATCCGTATTTTGTGTTCTTTGATCTTCTTGGTTTCTTTTTTTTTTTTTCTTCTTCTTTTTTTTCTTTTTCAGTTTCCTCTCACTTTACTATCCGTGTTTTATACATGTCGATGTCCCTTGACGCTGTTGTCAGAGATCTTTTTCTTGTCGATGTTATTATCGTCGTCTTGGCTTGTTGCTTGGCTAAATAATCGTCGAAGCACCACTGTATGTGAACCGCGCGCACACACACACAAATCTCTGTATGTAGTGTATACGTGTCTCCGTCATTCAGGATCATTCCTCTTTATCCACTTAACAAAGATCCGTTTTTCTCTATCCGTGAAATTCTCTATATTCCTTGTCTTGTACGTACGATCACAGGATTATCCTATCAGATGTTTCGCTCAATGAGAATGTTGTCGTGGTAATTTTCAACGATCAAGCGAATTCTCTCAGATTTTACACGTTATTCCAACTGATCACCTCCACGCTCCCGACTGATTCTCTGTCCCAACAAAAATAACCAGGTGGATGTAGCAAACGATTGAACAATCCACTTAAAAACAAAATCTTTCGTTTCATCACGAGATACAGCGACCAAGGACGATAAAGCGTTGCAGTAAATAGGGGCAGATTTTGTACGATGAGACGGCGGAAAGGTAACCCTGGAACCGTAAGTTAAGAACAATTATTCTGGACTAAGTATCGACGAAGCATGAATAGACATAGTACAGTTGGATAGTGGATTCAACAATAATCAGAAGCTACGTTACGGCGAACGACGACAAGGAGGTTATTGCTGATACATACGTGTATATTGTACATACTGATTATTGTTGAAGGATATTATACTTGATATGGTAACTCGCTCGTAGAATGGTCTGCATGCACCAACAGCCTGCTCCAACCCTACGATTTTCTTCGTACACTATATATAATTATATATATATTATATATTTACTCTCTACACCAACACTATATTCGCAACGTGAGTTCTTCTTGTCTTAAATTAATTGAATGAGGTGTGCTCTCTCTTTCCGCACTTCCGTCGAAGGCTTGCGAGAATCGTCCCTCGCTCCTGCGTAACGATTCGTTTGTTTGACTCCTCTATCCCCCTCTTACCCCCATTTTACGTTCGATTGCTCGATCAAACTCGATCAAACGAATAAACTGACCGAAATCGTATCGAAACGACGAGAAACAGATACGAGTTGATCACGAGGCGTAATTTGTGAAATCGAAGTCACCCCTCCCTAATTTTCTGTTGATTTACTCTCCCGTTGATACATTTTACTTTCGATTTTCCGACCCGACTCATTTTTGTTCGTTTCTTTCCTCTTTTACCGAAACACTCGACACGGATCTTCGTGGATTATTAAACACGTTTGATTTTGGCAAACCGCAGCTGGTCTCCCAGTCTACGAATGACAGGCGAAACCGGCCAACTGAGAGATTTCATCGAAGATCTCGGACCTGGGCAAGTGGTTGGAAGGCAGGCGCTCGGTGCTCGCTGCCTCGGCGAGATTCAGCTCTCGCTCACCCAGAAGAAAGGCTACCTTGAAGTGGAGGTCATACGTGCCAAAGACCTTAAACCGAAACAGGGCACCAAAGCCATTCCAGGTACGCTGCTTGATTTAAATCTGTTCGTTTCGGCGATCTCTTTTAACATCGGAACTCACCTATCGATCACTAAGATGTAAGACTCGTGGGCAAAGTTAAAATAAACTATGCAAAATACCACGGATTTTAGTAATCTAAAATTATTACATTCAAGTGTTAAACATGTCGGAGGAAATCTCCCAAAATTTTGTGCAAATTTGTTAAAAAAAAGAAAATTGCGAACTTTTATGTTTGAGATGGCAATCTTTTTTTTTTTTAAGTTACAGTACGACTAACGTTGTGGTTTCTTTTGTAAGTCGTAGTCTCTTTCTTGTCGTACGTAACGATTTTCTATACGGTGTTTGTTGGCGGGTTTTTTTTCAAAACATAATTTCTTCACTTGGCGTGGATAAAATTTCAAAAACTACGTGACTGATGACTCTGAAATTTTCACGTATCCATCAGCCGTAGCTGTTGAAATTATATTTTTACGTTGAGTTTACTTTTTATTCAAAAACCGCAATGAGATTTGAAATTTGTAGTTTATATTCGCCATAAATAAATCATTAATTTTCGTACGGACGATAACGATGAACGCTCCGAATAATAACTATCCTGATCTCTTTGATTAATTTAGTAAATTAACCGACAAATTAAATTCCAGTATCAGCAATATAGTATCAACACTACAAAGAAATTAACTAACACTGTACAGTAAATTGTATAACAAGAAAGAGGCTGGAATAAACCAGAAAAGAAACTATTGACTTAGCTAGTCGTACTGCAATTTTAAAAAGAAAGGTTTACGAAGACTACTAAAAAAAAAAAAAAAAAAAAATTTACGAAAAAGAAAAAAGTCCACGAATGCCATCAGTTCTAGTTTAAGAAACTGACATTTACAATTGTTAATTCTTTCCTTTTCCATCGATTCAGCTTCCTACGTGAAAGTTTACTTGGTGAACGGAAAGAAGTGTATCGCGAAGGCGAAAACGATGGCAGCGAGGAAAACGTTGGACCCGTTCTACCAGCAGTCGTTAGCCTTTAGAGAAAATTGTCGGGGTTGCATACTGCAGGTACTTGATTACTTAATTACTCGAAACCTTCGTTTCATTTCTCCTCGCTTTTTTGAATAAAATCGATCTAATGGTTATCTTTTTCTTTTTTTTTTTTTCTGTTTCTCTTGTGACTGCAGGTGACAGTATGGGGTGATTACGGCCGATTAGAAGGGAAAAAAGTGTTCATGGGCATTGCGCAGATCGTGTTGGACGAACTGAACCTCAATGAGATGGTGTTCGGGTGGTATAAGCTGTTTGGCAACATATCCCTGGTCAGTGGACCTCCATCCTTAGCTTTGTCCCGTCGATCCTCGGCTACGTCCTTAGAGTCGTTTAAAAATTAAACGAGTGCTCCTCCATCTAGTATTCTCTTTACGTGTGTAATCCGGCGACAAGCTCGAGCTCCTTTCAAGCACAATTCCCCAGATGAAAAGAGCAAGGGAAGAAAAGAAAAAACTATTAAAAAAAAAAAAAAACGAAGAAAAAATATCGAATCTATTCTTGAACCGTGTTTTTCCGCGTAATATCTATACGTTTCTTCGGTTTTCTTTTTTTATTTATTCATTTTTTTTTCAAAGAGAATCCCATCGGTATATATACAGTAACTGTTCGCGAGTATTCGAAAATCTTGACGAAAAAAGAAAAAAAAAAAGTGAAAGAAACAGAGTGAAACGCATGGATCGCGTTTAAGTAAAATTGACAGAGACTTTTGATGGAAATTTCTCGCGATACGCGTCCGGTTCCATTTAGTCCCTCGCGCGCCGATGTAACGAATTAACTCGCGCTTTAACGTTCGAGGTTTCGAGAACGATCGATTTACCGATAAACCGTCGGTTCTGGATATGGCAAAACGAAAAGGAAAAAAAGAAGAAAAAAAAAGAAAGAAAAGAAAAGAAAAGAAAAGTCAGTAACAAGAAATATATATATATGTATAGAGAGAAAGAGAGAGAGAGAGAGAGAGAGTTTGCGTGGCTATAAGTGGCAAGTGAGTTGGTGTTGGACAATACGAGAAACGTGTGTTTTATTTGCAAGGTAACCGCGAGAATGGGAAAAGTGTGAAAGGTCGTACGAGAGGACATGTCTTTCTAGAAACACCACTAGCACATCACATATCATGTACGGCATATCAGATGAGCCGCTAGTCTGTATGTAGACTAGATGTAGAGATAGCAGCCATGTTCCCGGAGCGCCAGATAGCTTTAGGTACGCACTGAGATCAACGCATCGTTCCTAGATAATTGATTTGATACGATTTCGCGTGGATACTTGAACTTCGTTCGTTCGTTTGTGTTCCCTCAGAAATAAAAAGAGATCTAAATTTAGGGAGATTCAAACGAACCCGCATCGCGTATCATCGTGAAGTATCCACGTGAAGTCCATGGACGTGTGTTGTTAAGAAAAAAAAAAAAAAAAAAAAAAAAAAGAACTTGCCCTTGTGTCTTCGTTTTTAAACTGAGACTGACCCTATCGCCTTTAAATTCTCTCTGTTTTTTGGTGGCCAATTTGTCTCTGCCTTTCCGTTTTCTTTCTCTCAACCATTCGCCAGTTTGTATTTTCTCTTTCAGCAGCTCGTTACTTCCCTGCGAATATATTTTTACATTATTTAGAGATGAGAATTATTATGTCTGCGCTCCCGAAAGTCTCACATCGCAACATCTTGCTGTTCTTTTTTTTCTATTTGTTCGTTTTGCCCCCTCTCTCATCCTTGTCTCTCATTCTTCCGCTACTACGAGTAAAAGCGTAGGCAGAACCTGACGTTGCTTGATTACGTGTGTTAATCTGAAACTAAACTTGCACAGCATTTGCACTCCTCGTTCGCAAACCTCTTTTCAACCGATTTTCGTATTCCGATCCAACGCGAAGATTCTCTGCTCGATTTTGTTTTAACGCAACAAGTATCCCAGTTTGAACGCACATAGACAGTTGGAAAGGTAAGTCCGCCGTATTCCGAGTCCCTTGTTCAAGTGTTTTCTCAGTGTTTCTCGCAATTATACCAACGATAATGACCCAAAGACCCGGAGATACAGACACCGAATGATGTTCCCAAAAAAAAAAAAAAAACGTGCAACACCTGTTCCCCTGTCTGAAACTCTTACCTTTCACTGTGTGTTGTACATACGAGTTGTAGCTACTTCCATCGTTTATCTAACTCTTTTCGTTTTGTTCCTCTTGTACACGATATGTTTCTGTGGATATTATTCGCCATCTGGCAAACGGAGACGCGCGACTGACCTGTGACATTTTCTTTCCAGTGAGAGCAACGCAGAGACACTCGACGCGAGACCGATACGAATTTCAACATGGTGTGCTGTGAGAATGGGGTGCCGAACGGTGATTCGATATTCGACGTTGAGGTGAAACGAAGAACGAGAAAGAGGCAGTGGTGAAAAAAAGTGAAAAAGAAAAAAATTGTTACCAAAAAAAAAAAAAAAAAAGAACCAGAAACAAAAAAAAAGAAGAGATGAAACGAAGAAAAGTTTCCAAACGCCGTTACGAACCGTAGTGACACGACGGCGGATATCGTGTGACATCGTCGTCACGAACCATTAACGAAATTTTAAGTAACATACATACGTACGTACCGTTTTCGCGTGCCCGCGAAACAAACAGACGTTTCAAACAATATTTGTACATAATATAGGACGCTCCTCGTGTGTCGACACCAGTGTGACGATTTATCAGATATAAAACGAAGGGACAGCCGTGCTTAAGGAACGAACAAAATTAAAAATTAACAAAAAAAGAAAAAAAAGAAGAAAAGAATTAACGAAAAAAGAAGAAAACCAACCAGATATAAAGTTATACTTGGGAACTCGTTGTCAAAAGTTTTTAGCCAAGAAATATCATCGTCAGAGCGTATATTATTTATTGTAAATATTATAACAATGATATATATATATATATACATATATATATATATATATGAATTCGCGATACGTATGCGCGCAGGTGTTTAGAAAATGATGAACAATTGCCTTGACCGTCGAGTTTTCGTTGTCCCGTTGTCCTCGCGATTTCGAGCGTCGCGGCGTCCCACCCGCGCTACGTATTGATTTTTACTATCACGATCAAAGAAAAAAAAAATATATATATATATTGAGCTCGAGACGGCGAAAACTCCTTGTCGTCCCTTGTGTCGCGTTTGATCCGTCGTAATCGGCCGTGAATTCGAAAGGCGTCGCGAGGCGAACGGGAACGAGGCCGAGAAAAGATCGTGAATTAGCGAATTGTTGTTGACCGTTAAAGTAGGCCATCTTCAACTATTTTGCGTGAGAGACTGCGCGCGCGCGCGCGCGCCTGTCTGTATGTGTATGTGTGTGTATATATATGTGAGCGTGCGTGTATCCTTACGTGTGTGTATGATTGTGGGTTGGTGTGTGTGTGCGTGCGTGTATGTGTGTGTGTGTGTGTGAGAGAGAGAGAGAGAGAGAGAAAGAAAGAAAGAAAGGGAGAAGCGAAATGCTAACTATATCGACTGTCATATATTGTGATTCTGTTAGTTTTTATTTAATTGTCGAGTAACCTCACGGATCGGATGTTTAAATGCGTGAAAAAAAGGGGACAGCCGTTGTAACCTTTTAGAATCTTTTATTCTCTTTATCGACTTGCACTCGACTTTCTCGTAAAGGAACGCTCGTTTTTTTAACGATACGAAATATATTTACTGAACGAACCGCCCACGTAATTCTTGCATACAAAACGGCGGACACGACGTGTCCGTGATGTTCGACGTCGCGTTTCGTCGCGAGACCCGTCGCGGGGAACCGTGCTTCCGGCGCTCGACACACACACACACACACACACACACACACATATGCACACACGCAAACACAGAGACACTGCTGACGAGAACCCATCGGGGGAAACGGAAGCGTATGTATGTACATTGAAAACGACGACGCTCGGCCCTCGGCGCAACGGACCGGGGCGAACGATCGTGACACTCAAACACAAATCGATTTTATATCTCTTAATTCTCATGTTATGTGTTCGATCTTTGTCTGTGCATTCGTCTGGCCACTTTGTGAACACAAATCCGATGAGCATGCACGTGTACGTAGAGAACGATCTGTAGCATTAAACAAAGCTTGATTGACGAACGATGATTTTCTTTTTTCGCCGATTGTGCTTGCAACGTGTGAATCGTCTCTTTGCGAGACGAAGAACGAGAGGAGATAGAAATGAGACGTAAGGAGGGAATGGAACAGAGACGAGAAGACAAATCGAAGAGAGAAATACGAAAGGAGAACAAAGAAAGAAAACAAAAAAGGAAAAGAAGAAGAAAAGGAAAGAACGACTCGAGTCGAGGATTGGAAACAACCTGCGAATTCAATTGCCTTCGGGGACGAAAAGTGTCAAGTACGCTCTGCTTTTGGATTGCAAATGTATGCGTTTCAGGGAACACGCCTCTGCGATCACCCGATTTCTTTTTTCTTTTCTCTTTTTTTTTTTTTTTTATATCATGAGATAACTTCGTTCCCTCGCATCGCTTCGCTCCTCGTTTGTTACTCTTTAAAGGGTACTCCTTGGATATTGATCGACGTCGCTGAAATAGAGTCACCGTTTTCCTTTCCGCGAGAATAGCCGCTGAATAGCTACTCAGGTACCGCACGAGTGTTTCAAATTTGCCACCGAATCTGATTTTCTCGAGCATCGATACTTCCCTTCATCCCTTGTCACTTTCTTTATTTTTTTTTTTTTTCATTTTTAACGCGTTCGAATAAACAGAACGTTTCAAACATCGACATTTCGAATGTTCAGGTTGCTCTAAGTCGGTGACATCAATGTCGGTGTCTTTCCGCGCTTATATGAAAACTTATACGCGGTCACGCTCACACTTTTCGACTTTCTCGCCGCGATTCTCATTTTTTCTGTTTGGCCGTGTCTGCACTCTGCCGTGGCGACGATATGGATGCCAAGCCCCGCAAAGTTTTCACAAAATTTTCCACAGAGATTCACGTCTCAACGAAACAGAGACGAGACGGAGAGATCAGAGATAATGCGGCGAATTTTACAGATAGGACAAACCATCTGGTAACCGGGTGATCGATCGACAATTATTACATGGAGAATGTGTGAAGAAACAAAAAAAAAAAAAAAAAAAAA